CGACGTCTGTCTTCGCGAGACCCTCCTTGCTCGTCCACTTTAGGTCCTTCCGGTTGAGCTCGAGCCTGCCACCGGCCAGCATCGCATCCTCCATCTCCTCATCCTCCTCCGTGTTCACATACAGCACGCGCAGCCCCTCCTCATCTTCCACGGCGTCCGTCACCACGCTCGCCAGCAGCACGCTGCTGATGTCCTCGGACAGCCTGGGCACCTTTGTCGGAGGAGTTGGCGACGGCTCCTCGACCTCGACCCTGGGTGCCTTGGGATATCTCACCTCCGCTGGGTTGACCGTCCTCTTGCCTACAAGGCGGCGGTACACCGTTGGTTCGGCCGTCCTCTCGGTAGGCGGCGGTTCGGCCGGGGTCTCGAACTGGGGTACTGCTCCAGCACCTCCATCATCGTCGCCAGGACCGGGATGCTCCGGCAGTTCCTCCGCCTCAGCTTCAGCGGGAGGATCCGCTGCCGCGGTCACTTCGGCAGCCGGGCCTGAAGCCGCCTCTGCCAGCGCCGCGCCGGGGGGCCGCTCGTCCGCTGTGATGTCAATGAAACCACACTGCGGTCCCTGGCCGTCCATGAACTCCTTCGCCAGGGCTCGGAGCTCAGGCTGGACGACCTCGGCGGCCAGCTTCTGCTCCTCGGTGGCGTGACGGAGCTGCTCTGGCGACGCCTTGATCACCACGCCCTGCATCGCGACCCAGAAGTTGCCGCGCACGGAGCCCAGGATGACGGCGGACCCCCACCAGCGGGCATGCGCTTTCTTGCCGGGAATGCCCCGACCACGGCGCCACCCAGCAACTCGGTCGCCCGGCTTGAACGTCTGAATCACACGTGGCCGACTGTCCAGCCACCCTGGCTGCGCGATTGTCCATGTACTCTAGGACGGCAATCCTCGCAGCCTGTCGGCACTTCTCCATCTCAGCGAACGGCTCATCGTGCAGGATCGCGCTGTTGACCACGACGTTCGGACCCTCCTGCATCAGGTCCGATGCGACCTCCGGATTCCTCCCCAAGGCGATCTGATACGGGGAGAAGCCATGGACGCGACGGAGGGAGTTCTTGGCCACCACCACCGCTCGCACGCATGCATGTCAAGTACTCGCTCTCGTCCTTCGGATTGGTCTGATCCAGCACTTTATTCAAGATGTCCTCGAACCACGTTCCATGACGCTCAGCATGGCCGACCTGCTCGTGTGCTTCTCCTGGCCGCGTCACTAACTTCCATCCCCTGCCTCTCGAGCGCATCGACGATGTCCTGGCCTAGATTTGTCCTTCCCGCATCGCACTTCAAGAACGCAGGCGGCCCGTACGGCTGGCACCATCCACTCTCGAACAGCTCCTTGAGGACCTTGCCGGTTTCCTGGACAAGGAAGGGCAGCATTAGTTGGAGACCGTTGCTGGGGCACACGATGTTCAGGGCCTTCACCTTCATTCCTGCCTTCCAGCCTGGTAACTCCTTCACGTCCAGCTCGACCAGCCTCAATGGCGCCAGCTTAGACGGCATCTTCACGGGCCGCACGGCCTTGGGAAGCCGCCGTCCCTCGCACATTGAGCAGGAAAATGATTGAGCCAATGCCAGAACCATTTCATTGGCCTTGGCGTGCTTCAGAATTCGCACCATGTCCTCGTTGCTCGGATGCCCCTTGTTGGCGTGCAGCCTCCGGAGGGACGCCTCGAGCGACAGCTTGCGACGCTTGATGACCTCGTCGTTGTCGGACGTCGTCAGGACATCCGCTGTCATGGAGGCGTGATCCAGCTCCAGCAGACTCACCACGGCTCCGGCTATCTTCTTGCACAGGTCCGTCGTGCACTTCTCCGAGAAAGTACTCCTCTTGGTGCCTCCCGAGCTGTCCCAGCACCACTTCTGTTCATGATCACGAGGACACCGCAGCTCCTTCAGCGTCCACTTGAGCATGTCCACGTTGGTAGCGAAGCACCACTCCTTGGACATCGGCTTCTTCGTCACCGGGTCCTTCAGACCCACCTGGCACCCGCTGACCGAGACGCGATGTACACCCGACAGCTTGCAAAGCCCTAAGACCGATGCACAGTCCCAGGACTTTGCCGTTGGAGGGGCCTCGAGCGCAAAGTAACGGCCACTCCTGTGCTGCATCCGAGCGATCACCACGCAGAACCTCAGGTAGCCGACCGCCTCTCTGACAGCACGCCGAAACTTCTCTGGATCTCTCCGCACTTGCTCCACGGTCAGGTTCTGTAAGATTGAGAGGGGGGCCACACGGAGGATTCATGCCCACGGACTCGGGCTCCTCAACGTCGATCATGTGTAAGATCTTGTGTCGATCCGCCGAGCACCTCGCATCCCAGCCGTTCTTAAGGTCGAACGCGCCGAGGTTCTGGAATCCCAAGGACTCCAGGACGGGCGTCACGCGCGGCTCTAAGAAGATCTCCAGGCACTTCGGCTGGCGACCCAGCAGGACCTGCGCCTCCAGCACGCCCTTGGCCAGCATCCGCTTGGCCCGCCGGCTCATGATGTCGGTAACGCCCTCCGACCACAGCACGTTGGTGTCGTCCCAGTCACTGTCAGCCCCAGGGCTCCGGCTCGGCCTTAGCGAAAACCCGACGACGCCACGGCGTCGATCTCCTCCAGCTCCTTCTGCTCTACCGCCGTCCAACCGTCGTCATGTCTCTCGGCCACCAGCACGTCGACCTCGGCCGTCTGGATCTTCCTGCCACTCTCGTTCTTCATCTCGCACAGGTTCAGCTGGTAGTGACCGCTGGCGGCGACCCGGAGCGGCACGGTAACATTGATCCTTGTGAAGCGGACTTCGTCGCGCTCCATGTCCAGCTGCGCCCCCAGCGCCTTGAGCATGGGCTTACTCACCAGCAACGGGGTCTGACCCGGAACGACACACAGGCGCAGGATGAGGGTTCTGCCGCCCACGCGGCACTGCACCTCTGCCGTGTAGACCGACTCGAGCGTCTCCTGGTTGCCGAACCGGAAGATCGTCGCCTTCTCCTGCTTGAGGATCTTCATCGAGAGGCCTGCCTTCTTCATCTCCCCCTTGTGGTCCTCGAGCGACTTCTCTCCGATGACGCCCTTGCCGCACCCTGTATCAACAACGCCGGAGCCAGGCTCGTGCGCGGACGCGATCAGAGCTTCTGGGCAGGTCTCCTCTTCGACGGTGTCCGTCGTCAGCCTGCGGTACGCCTCGACCATTTCGTCCATCTCATCCTGCACTGCCGAGTACGCCTCGCATAGACCGTCAATGGCCTGACGGTCCTCGTCATCCTCGTCAGCAGTCAGCTCGCATTCGTGCTCGTCACCGAAGCCGCCCTCATCGTCGTACTTGGGCTGCTGAAGCTCATCCTCACACAGGCCACACTCGAAGTTCTCCTCATCTCCTTCCGCGATGTCGTCGTCGTCCACCACCAGGGCTCCCTCGTCGGAGTCGCTCTCGATGATCGTGACCACGTCCCCGCGCTTCTCGTCGGTCTTGCCCTTTGGAGTCTCGTGCTGGTGGCCGTCGTTGTCGTCGAGGCTTCTTGCAGTCCCGACTGAAGTGGCCGACCTCGTCGCAGCTATAGCATCTCACTCTCTTGGCCATGGCCTTGGTGTCAGGCCTCTTGGGGCCGAAGCCTCGCGCCAGCTGCTCCTTTGAGGTCCAGTTCCGTTGGTCTCGCCACGACACCAATATCTCGATGGCCTCACTCTCGTCCAGAATGTCCCCATCACCCTCGGCCTCGGTTGCGTCGTGGCCTGCCAGCACCGCCGCGATGTCCGATCCATCTTCGCTCTCGTCGGCCTCTTCCGCCACGTGGGCGCCATAGGCCTTGGACTGCTGTCCGAAATCCGCCGTGCCGTTGGGGTAGGTCGTCCTGATCGCCATCGCCACGTCCTTCTCCTTGTACGATCGTCCCGAGGCCGCCAGCACGACCGCGAGGTTCTGCGGCGCCAGAGATGCTCCCAGCAGCAGCAGGTACCCGCGCGCCATGTCCGGCAGCACCACGCCCTCGGCCTCGCCCTTGGCGAACGCCGCCTGGGCACGTCCGCAGTACGCCGCCATCGACTCGCCCTTGATCAGGCGAACCGTAAACACCTCCTTCAGCGCCTCTCCCAGCCGATCGTGAGCTGCCACGTCAGGGAAACGCGAATCGAGTGTCTCGAAGATCTGCTGCTCACCGCCCTCCTGTTCTGGGTCATCCATGTCGACCACCTCCAGCGCTCGGGCGGCAACGTCGTCCAGAAGCGTGAACAGCATCGGCCCTAGGGCTGTCGTTGGCGTCCCCTTCGCCTTCTGCACGATGAGGTACGCCCTGGCCCACTTCTTCCAGGATCTGTAGTCCTGGAACGCGTCGGCTCCTGTCCCGGCGAACCTCCTGATCGCACCGCCGGGCCCTCCATTGTCCGTGTTCATCTTCACCGTCTGGCGTCCCGCCGGCACTCATCTGAGTGCCTCCCACTGCGACAGCGCCTGCTATCGCGCGGCACGCTCCGCACTATCAATGCAGATTGGGCTTCGAGGAGGGTGTGCCCACGGCCTCTTTTCCATTCCTGTGGCAAGCCAAAATGCTGCAGCATCAACACGCACATACAACACGCATGCGATACGTTTACACATGCACTAAGACGCACTGGGCCCGACTGGCCCTGAGACCAGCACCTCCCCAATAGTCCCGTACATTCTCCGCTGGTCTGTTTCAGAGTGCGTTGCGTATTTCCTCTGGAGTCGCACGTGTCTCCCCACTGGCCAACTTGGGGATGCACTGCAACTTCCCCCATGCATCCCACGTGTCTCCCTACTAGCCTGCTTGAGGGTGCTCTGCGCGTCCCCCCAGAAGTCCCGCGAGTCAAGTGCTAGTCCCAAGCGATGCTGGCATTGCCCTTTTCACATGGGGAGGTGCCGTGCCAGGGGGCAGACGTTGCTTCGTAGACAGGGCGAGAAGGAGAGACCAAAGCGGATAGGGAAACGTGCGGTAGTGAGGGGGTGTCAAGAACAGAGACGTCGTGGGGCGCGATGCCGTCCGTTTGTAGAGTTTGGCAGGCGAGGAAGCTGAAGTCTGAACTGGACTTCTGGCGTGAGGAGCACTCAGAGCAGATTCAGCAGGCCAAGGACTGCACTTGTATATCAATCGCCACGCTGCCTGCAGGATTTGCTATAAAGCGGGCGTTGCGATGCACCCACATCTTCCCCTTGCCTCACCGCCCGTCTCCCCCTTCCCCCCTTCCTCCCGTTTTCCCTTCCTTTCTCCCCTCGTTTCTTGAGAATGCGATGAAGGGTGAACCACATCACGATCACACCAGTGTGTTGCTATTTTCCACGCCGTCCTCTTGCTGTCGCAGTCGATGTTTCGGGTGCCTTTTGCTTCATGCGCCATGAACGATTCGGTTCGTAGACTGTTGCTTGTCTGCGTGCCGAAAACTCCACATGACCCAACGGTAATCACGATCCCTTTCAGCCATCCTATATCGTCCGAGCGCAGCACAGCTCCTACTCGGAGGTGCCAAATCATCCGCGTTGTTTCCATACCGAAGACGGGAGGACCCTTATCAGAGACATGTAGCCAGTTTACCTCTTTGCTTTCCCCCTCGTCGTCGTCGTCTTCTTTTTTTGTACGCTAGACCAGCAGCGTAACGCTGTGGCGTTAGTCCTCCTCCTCCTCCTCCTCCCTCTCCTCCTCCTCCTCCTCCTCCTCCTCCTCTTCCTCCTCCTCCTCCTCCTCCTCTGTTTCACTCTGTTTTCTAATGTTGCCGTGCCCATCCCTCGTCGGCTGAGCGCGCTCGGCAGCGTATCCAGGCCCGCCTCCGTGCCTCCGCTCGCCGTTCTCGCATTGTCCGCGCTCTCTGTCGTGCCTAGTTTGTGGTTGTGGACTCTTTCGCTCGCCTCCCCCCTTCGTTTCTTGTCTGCCCGTTCTTCCCTTGCTCGTTTCGTGTTCGCTTTCTGTTTTCTTCTCTTCAAGGGGTGCGACTCCTCCTCCTCCTCCTCCTCCTCCTCCTCCTCCTCCTCCTCCTCCTCCTCCTCCTCCTCCCCCCCCTTTTTTCCTCTCCCTCGATTGTGTTCGCGGGTGGGTTTCTTGTGCGCGAACTGGCTACCCAGGCTTGTCTGCGCGCGCGCGAGCTGTTTATCTTTGTGTGCGTCTCTCCTCCTGCTCCTCGTCGTCGTCCTCTTCCGCCTACCCCTCGGAATCTTAGTGCCGCTCAGTTGGTCGCACTGCCAGGCCCCGGGCTGCGACCGCAAAGGTTAACACAGTGATATTTGCATCGTGGTGCGATTCGGTTCCTTCAGCCGGCCGTGCATTTCGTCTCCGGATGTACGAGCCCGTTCCCCAGTGCGATGAAATGGCCCGCGTTTCTGGACCTGTCTGCTCGCCCGTTCCACACTGCATCTTTTACGCGCCGTTTGCGGAGGCAATTTCGCATTCACGCGCAGGTTTCATTGAAGTGCCTCGTCGCTGGGGTGTCTCATCTGCTGTTCCCACTCCGACGCAAAACGCACACGCGTATACATACACACCTAATAAATCTAGATGTATGTGTATATATATAAGCGTGTATATATACACACATCTACAAACACGTAGCACCCCGCAGTTGCGTGTAAGAGTGACGGGGCGGCGGGGACGTCTGAAGCCTGCGAGGTTCTGAAGAAGCCCGCCGCAGGCGCCCACATTCGGAGGTTGATAGACCTCCTACCCTGACACGTCGATTCAGGAATTGGCCGTTTTCGGTTCGCGAGAGGGCGTCACGGCCGTTATTTTTGCGGGTCCAGGTCCGTCGGTTTCGGTCCCATGTGGCTTTCACGAAAGGGAGGTTTACTAAAGGGAGGTTTGTCCACCGCCGATACATTTTACACATTCTACGACGGGCCAGCCGCAGGCGCCGATTTTTTGTTAAGGCAATGTGGGTGGGTCGCGGGGTGGGTCGTTGGTGGGTCGCGGGTGGGATGCGGGCGGGTCGCGCGTGGGCCGCGGGTGGGTCGCGGGCCGGGTCTCGAGTGGGTCGCGGGTGGGTCGCGGGTGGTTCGCGGGTGGGTCGCGGGTGAGTCGCGGGTGGTTTGCACGGCGGGTCGCGGGCGGGTCGCGGGCGGGTCGCGGGGGGGGATCGCCGGTGGGTCGCGGTTGGGTCGCCGGGTGGGTCGCGGGTGGGTCGCGCGCGGGTCTCGGGTGGGTCGCGGGTGGGTCGCGGGCCAGGGCCAGGTCGTTATGGGGATGACGCCAAGCAACAACAATAAACAACAACACGAATCCGTAGCAGTCACGCACCCAGGGACAGTGAATGACCTCTCGCCCCCCCCAGTCTGATATATATATATATATATATATATATATATATACATATGTATATGTGTGTATAGGCGTAAATCTATGTATATACACATAGGTACACATCTGTGTATGTATACACATGTTATATGGCTAGTGTATGTGTATATATACATGTCGTTTACATATTTGTGTAATTTTAAAGTGTACACTGATCGATATGCGTGTGCCGGGGCAGAGAGAAAGAGAGAGAGAGAGAGAGAAACAACAACGAGAGAGACAGAGAGAGAGAGAGAGATACAGAAATACAGCAACGAGAGGGAAAGGGGGGTAGGTGTCAGTACAACCCCCTCTTCGCGTGTCGTTGTTTACGCCACTTGCTAATCCAATGCGAACGTGCATGACTTACAAAGCCTACACATATATTCGGCATCCCCATCACCGATACACCAGTTGGTTGCATTCATTTGCGTGTGTGTGTGTGCATGTTTTTTTCCCAACCATCCCTTGGTGTTGGGTCCTCGTTTTGTTTCGTGGCCCCATAGGGGATTCGACCGAAGGCCCCAGTGCCACCGCCAGCATGCGTTACCCACACCCATTTCGGCACACCCCTCACACGTTTCGTGGCCCCATCGAGAGCTCCACCGAAGGCCTCAGTGCCACCGCCCGCATGCGTTACCCACACCCATTTCGGCACACCCCTCACACGTTTCGTGGCCCCATAGAGAGCTCCACCGAAGGCCCCAGTGCCACCGCCCGCATGCGTTACCCACGCCCATTTCGGTACACCCCTCACACGTTTCGTGGCCCCATAGAGAGCTTCACCGCAGGCCCCACAGCCACCGCCCGCATGCGTTACCCACACCCATGTCGGCACAGCCCTCACACGTTTCGTGGCCCCATAGAGAGCTCCACCGCAGGCCCCAGTGCCACCGCCCGCATGCGTTACCCACACCCATCTCGGCACACCCTTCACACGTTTCGTGGCCCCATAGAGAGCTCCACCGAAGGCCCCAGTGCCACCGCCCGCATGCGTCACCCACACCCATGTTGTAACACCTCTCACACGTTTCGTGGCCCCATAGGGAGCTCCACCGAAGGCCCCAGTGCCACCGCCCGCATGCGTCATCCACGTACGTTTTGGCACACCCCTCACGCGCTTCGTGGCCCAATAGGGAGCTCCACCGAAGGGGCCAGTGGCTGCGTTCGCATGCGCCCACCGCACCCATTTCGGCACGGCCCCAGTGGCTGCGTTCGCATGCGCCCACCGCACCTATATCGGCGCACCTCTCACGCGCTTCGAGGCCCCATGGGTAATTCCACCGACGGCCCAAGTGGTTGCTTTCGCATGCGCCCACCGGACATTTTTTGGCACACCCCTCACACGTTTCGTGGTACTGTAAGAAGCTCTTCCGAATGCGGTGCATACAACCAGGGTATTCATAATTGCATATGGTTGGGTCCTTCGCCAGGCTAATTCGTACTATATCGGTTCATGTGTGCAGTATCGGTGACAAGTTCTTGGCCATCTACCCAAGGCGCGATTTGTGGGCATGCGAACCAGTTTAGTGCTCTTCTTCCTCTCTCGTGTTCTCTTTCCGTCTTGGTTCCCAATTTCACATTGTTCTTTCTCCTCACGGCTTGTGCATCGCATGGTGGTTTCCCCTTTCTCTCAGTGGAGGAATCTGGCAGTTTTCATCATCAGTACATTGGTTCGGGTAAGATCCGGGGTCGGCCGGCTCTTCGCCTCCTCTTCAGGTATCTTCCTCGCTCCCCCCCAGCCCGCGTCGAGATGCAGTAATTGGCGCTCGCGCTGGTGCACGCGGAGGCGGCTGGTGATGGACCGTCCGGTTTCGTTGGCCGCTCCTTGACCAGGGAGTCGCCACGAGCCCGCGTTGTCCTTTGGTGCCGGCCGCCTACGCCGACAGCGTGGCTGTCTTGATATGCGGTAAGGCCGCATTCAGAAACCTGGGGGGTGCGTCAGATGTATGGCACTTCGCCCGCTACTTGTGGTGTACCTTGCGCGCCGCCTCCTTGTTTCCTCTGCTCTTCGTCCTGCCCCCTCACTGTTTCGAGCAATTTCGAGCCCGATGTTTTTCTCAATGCGGGATTGAGATGCGAGCTGCCTCCATCCTCCAAGGTTCATTGTTTCAGCCTCTGGCGCGATTTTACTGTGGGCGACAGGCCTCCTCGTCTCTTCTTGCTTCCCAGCCCCCCAGCCTGGGTCCGGAGCGATCGGCGTTTCTGGTTCTGCTACGCTCGGCGACGCATTTGGCTTCCATCGTGTGTTTAGCAGCATATCAACGGTTGGAGGCCGTCAGGGGTGCGCACACACATGCTTTTGTCCACTGTGGTCGACGCTGCGAGTGTGGTTGAATGCTGTCCGTATCGTCCCCTTAGTTTTCGTCCATTCTTTTCCCAATATTTGCATCGGATATGTATATATGTCGGCGGTGCCCAGTGCGGAGCGACCCCTCCCCGGAATCGCCCGTCCTGGGGGGTTTCGTGCTGGCCGCGCCGCCAGCGCAGGCCAGTATACGAACCCCCCCAGGATCACGAACCCCCCCGGGGCCGGTGCGCCCCGTTACGAACCCCCCCGGGGCGCCCCGCCGGTGCGCCCCAGTACGAACCCCCCCGGGATGGCCAAAGCGCGGGGCAGCGCCCTGGCAGCGCGCGCGAGCGTCCAGCGGCGGCGTCGGCGGCGGCGTCGGCGACGGCGGCGTCGGCGACGGCGACGACGACATTCAGTGATCCCCGGACGCCCCCGCAGCCCCATAAGCTTCCGGGAAGTAGGGGGCCGGACGTTCTTGGAGGTTTCCCGAAGTAGGGGGCCGGCTTTCCACAATCCCAC